AAAATAGAAGTGGAAACAATATTTCATCAATTCCTAAAAAATAGAAGCTACACATATAAGTGAATTTAAAAACATGTAAGATAGAATGGGGCTAGTTGCGCGTAAGGGCAAGTTGATTAAATGCAAATATCTGAATAACCAAAATATATATAGATATGTATGCTTGCATAAGTAACATAAAGACAGAGATGCCTTAATAATCTATGTCTAGCTGTCAATAGCCAAATACGTGAGCTTTTTCATATACCAAAAGTAAAATTATTAGATGAGTACTCTTTTTGGTCTACGTAGTAATTAAAGCTATTTATAACAATCAAATATGTTTTTGGAAGTTATTATCGTATTTTTTAACTTTAATATTCAAGTTGCTATTTTATTTACGGTTTTTCAGTCATAAATAAGTATTTCAGTCAACAGCAATATGGGGCTTGTTGGACTCAGTATCCATAACGAACCTTATAAACTCTGCTGCTCAAAATCTATATTTATCGATACTTTTTCCATCTTAACGATTAAATATATATTTTACGTTTAATTATTATTATAAAGAGTAAAGATTTTATAATTTTAATCTAATAAGCATTTAAAAAGAGAGAGTATTACAAATTATTACACTATTAATAAAAATTCGATTAGTGTACATAATTCTTTTCAAGTTTTTTAATCATTTATAATTTCATTAAACAATTATCTTTATGGTTCAATTTATCCTTCGAGGATGCTCAACATGCCTCATAAGTGGCATATTGATCCACTTTGCATTATAATGAACATTTTTATTCTTAGTTATGAGATATTAACGATTTATAAGTACTCATTTATTGAGCCAGATGAATATGCAACGTTTTAAAGCATTTACCATTAGTCTATCATAATTGTGTGAAGATTTATAATTTAAAAAAAGTGTCACAATTAGCTCCGCTCTCTCTATTCTAATACAAAGATATATTTTTACAGCTAATGAATTCTGTCTAAAGCTATGGTTAAAGTCTCATTACAAATGCTTTTGAAGCGTTTGGTTAATCAATTAGAAAAAAGAATTTTACAAAAGCATTCGTTTTATTTAAAGCATTCGTAGCATCGTGATGATTTAATATCCTAAAGTGATATTGGCAGCTGGATAGCTTCAACAGAGCCGGGTGTGGCGAGGGAGGCATTTACCTCATGTAAACAATTTAAAGCGCAAAAATGGCAATTTAATTTCCTACATATTCTAATTTATTAATCGTAATTTTGAATTACGGTCCACTTGATGCTACATTAAATTAAAATTAATGAAAAATTATTTAAGATCGTCATTAGTCAAGAAAAATTACACAGAAAAAAAGTACCATGTACTGGGGTGGAGACTCAGCTATTCTTATGTATTTTGAATCGCTGAATACGAATCTGATATCAAAATAGGACCATTCATGGTAAATGTGCAATCCAGAGCGAAAAAATGGGTCAAAAACCTCGAAATCTCTTTTATTAATATATTCTAAGACCATTGACAAATTTTTTATTAAACCTAGACTATATGTTTCCCAAATTAAGAAATATTTATCAGCCGTCAAAAAATACTGTACTGAACGCTCTGAAATACTAATACGCTACAAAAGGCAATCCTTGATTGATGGACAAGGTAGCAACAAACGTCATATCTACGTTCTCTATACCTCTTGCATAACTTTTAGCGATGAACTCTGAGTGCCTTACGTTATAGACAGGTTAAACTTATAATAATTCCCGAAGAGTTATACCACAGACCAATTTTCAGAAAAGCAGCCATCAGATCACAATAACTGCCCGTACATCATCTCTACCATTGTATCTGTATATATTTAAAAAAAGATCGATTTATGTTCGTGCGTGTTTCCGCACTGTTTTGCCTTCAAATGTTATTAACCACATTACGGCTTCACTCTCACACAGCACAGAAGATTGTAGCAATATTGTTGCAATGTTACAATATTGCAGATTGCAATGTAACTTTGCAGAGATATTACAGAAATGTAAATTAACAATATGCCTATAAAATGTCAGTAATATGCTTTTAATATTCTACAAACATTGCAAAACTGTAATTCTTTAATTGTTACAATAATAATAATATAAAAATATAAGTTTTTACAATATTTATGTAGCCTTTTAATTTAACACTTATCATATAATAATTAATATAATTCATTTTATATTTAAATAAAAAATTTATTGATCTATTATTTGACGGCCATTTCATTAGCTAAGTTTTATATTTATTTTAAATATGAAACCAAAAGATTATATAATAATCGAGTTTGGATACAATGAATGCATCGTTATCGGATAAGATAAATGGAAGGATAAACAATTAAGCTGCTGAAAACGATTTATCGAAATATTAATTATGTGATCAATGATATGCCTGATGTGAACGCCTGAATAAATCAGCACCCTAACTTTATTGATAAATTTCATACCGTCATTTTTTAATCGATTTCAACTCGGTTTCAATCGATTTGACTCGGAATGATTTCGAATTAAAAAGAATCATTGCGATTAACTTAATCCATGATTAACTTATCAAGCGACTGTATTATTATATTAATGTAGATAATATTTGTAGTTTGTTCGAGACATACACATGTGCTTTATCCTTACGAATAAATTTATCCTTCAGAATTAATACTATATTTATTGCAATATTTAATGGTTTTATCATAAAAAATTGCTTTTGCGCATATCACTAGAAACACGATTTGTAGAAAAATTAAAGTTAGTGAGGTATATGTCTAAAAATAGTTTTCATTTTAGAGTCTTCGTAAAAAATTTATCCAAATACATTACATTGCAATATTGTTAGAACGTTTTGTTGCAATATAACAAACAGCGAACATCTTATTATTGTTGGAATTTTGCAACAATGAATCAGCAACGTTTTGCAATCATCATGCAATATTGCAATATTTTATTGAAATCATTCTGCAATGTTTCTGCAATCTTTCTGTGCTGTATGGGACCCTATTGCCCCCTTGCAAGGCCGCCCGCCTTCGCTGGCTTCATTATCACGGTGGATCAGAAAACGAATCATTCTACATGGGGCTGTAGTTCGGGGCAGTTATCATTGTCTCCAAAAGCCTCCATAGCAGCAGGTACTTGTAGGTGTTTTCACTTATGTATCACTATATTTGCACGTAATTCTCAACTCGGGAAACATATGGTTTAGATTTAGCGACTCAAAATACATAAGAATAGCTCTTTACCAGCACATGGTACTTTTTTTTCAGTGGGCCCGTGATATCAAATACAGGAAAATATAGGAAACCTTTCAATTGAAAATGAAATAGAAAATGAAAGGCTATATAGATTTTGATATAATAATTGATAATTTTGCATTTATCAAAATACGAAAAATATTATTGCGATTTTAATAACTGTTTCATTTGTAACATACATGTAAATTTTATAGCGTATAACTCTTCTTCTATACACGTGATTATTTCAAATTAATATTATTATATACCTATTACTATTAATTAATATATATGTATATATTATTAATTACTATTAATTAATATTTCTTATTACACAATACGACAAAAATCGATTTTTTTCTTCTCATGGAAAAATCAAAGAGATTCTGAAAGATATAAAAAAAGTACCCCTGTTTCGGCATTCATTCATCTAATAAGTTTCTTTTACCAGATCAAATCAATATTCTTTGCTTTTAACTGAATAACCATTGACATAATATTATATAAAGTAGAAATAAGTTTGTATAGTGTTTGTAGTAAATGGTTATTAATTAAAAAGTAATATCTTTGAATGAAAATTATGTTATATAAAGTGTAGGATTAACTGCTATTAAATGGATAATGTTTCGTTCATAATACAATACGACAAAAAATAATACAATACGATTTTTAACATGTTGCTCAAAATACACTTTCTTCACAATCATTTGGATTTTTTTCCATCAAATTTGGCGAATTCACAGTGATGAACGTTTTCAGGATACTGAGAAACGCTTCAAAGGAAAATACACATGCTTGGTGAATACTGTTGGTCTATTATTCGTAATACAAAATCGGAATTCTATAAACGGCAACTCAAATGACCAATTCTTATAATAATTATAATTATAATTCTATTATTATTATTATTATACAAAAATTTGAAAATGTATGAAAAAAAATAATTCTCAATTATTTTTTTTGTATTCCGACTCATTGCATAATTTTACATGCAAAAACGTCAATTATTTATTTAAAAAAATTATTATATAATTTTAAACAATTGTAAAAATATAAAGCAAATACGATAAATGACTATAAAAACATTAACGACTGATTTGGTAAAAACGCCGAGGCACGGATATTTTTTTTTATTATATCTACTTTCAGAATCTCTTCGATTTTTTCGAGAGGAAATATGTGTTGTACTGTGTTATATTTCACATTTCATAAAGAAATTTTTTACTAAAGAGCGCATTTTTTTATTTTACCTCAGGTGCCGAAATGTCTAGTGTCGGCTTTGAGCTTCAGAATGGAATATACATTTATTTATAAAGTAAAAGATTCGCGTCTAGGAATTTTAAAGGAATAATATTTTAGGACAGAAAGAGAAAAATGGAAAACATATCCCAATTGGATTAATATGTTAATCCCATTATAAATTCTGCAATATTTTTGTCTTACAATAGAAAAAAAATCCATAATAAAAACAAAAAAACAATTACCTCCTTGTGATATTCTTCGTTTATGTCGTTGATAAGGTTAAAAAAGTACATGACGTTCGATACGTTAATTGTTTTCTTTATTTTTCGTATACAATCCATCTGGAGATTTTTCTCGCATAATGCATCTGCCAATTGCAAAAGATCTGCAACAAAGAGATATTTTAGTCGCGAATTACATATGTAATATTCGACACGTTTAACTCAAACTCACCTAATAGGTTTTTAAAAGATGATACATTGATCCTACTAGTATATAAATATTCTAAAAATTTTTTATAAATGACATACCTATAATAATTATTCACGATGACACTGTCAAGAAAAACATATTAAAATATTCAATATACAAACAAATCAAACAAAAAAGGTTTTTTTTTAATATACTTTTTTTTGTAAAAACGTACCGTTGTCTATTTTCAACATAATTAGTTTGGAACATACTTCTAAAATATGTGGAACGAATCTTCAGGATAACTTTGTGAACATAAATTGATTGTTTCTCGACCATTATCGTGAGATCACTTGTTGACTTTAGACAGGAAACACGAATTAGTTATTAAAGTTGAACATATGTATTATATAATCACCAAATCTTTTTTGTTACGCAATGAAAAAATGTAATAAAAAGAAAGACATTTAACCCTCAGTATCTATAAAGGGCGTAACCTCTTTGATAGGTCAGATGTTTTTTTTCCGATCCCTTTTCACTTATTGCAAAATATCTTTTATGCTATGACATTTTAGAATTTCTAACTCAAAAATTCTTTTTCTTAGTCTTCAAACAATAGATTAAAAAAAAATTAATTAAAATCGATGCACTACAATCTGAGATATAAGCAAAAGAAAATGCTAGGTTACAAATATCGGTAGATAAGGACTTCTTTGAAATGTTCTGATGATTAAGATATCAGATCACGAAACGAGAGGTGTTATTGAAAAATACGCTAAGACTTTACCAAGGAGATAAAATAGAACAATGATAATCAGTATAATAAATTTCAGATTGTAAGCATTTTCAATTAATGGCTTGCTTGCGGTTTTTAACACGTCATCAGTTGAAAGAATTTGAAAATTTTTGACATCTTTTAAAGATTCAAAACTAAATTGTAAAAATAAATTGTATTGCAATTTTTATGATACTTCATTGGAAATACTGAATTCGAGAAACAAATAAATACAAAGAATAAAATCTAACCTGATCGTTGAATGCAGTTTCCAAGTCTTTTAATATGTGAAATTCTTCATTTATGAATTCATCGGCCACGGATATTGGTGAACGAGCTGTCATCGAGTTGGATATGTCAAACGCGTTCGTATATTCACAAACAGCTGGTTCTTTATATTGTCTTTTAAAAATAAAACCCCATGCGTACACAAGTTCATTCTTGCTAGACTTGACAAAATTAGTGTAATTAATGACGGCGATGTCTGATAGGTTTTTTACATTAATTATATTCATCTGCCAATCGAAAAATTTTTTAGTTTAGTTTAAGCTTTCCTAGTCTTTTCCGATTTGTCATAATACAATACTGAAACAAATCATTTACCTGGATAGGGGAAATGTCATTGTTGCCGGAATGATTGCTGCAAAAAGTCGTTTCATAAAAGTATGGACCTCCCCAGCAGTAGAGTTTTCCTTCATTAGTTAGAGCAAGGGTGTAATCAATCCCACAAGCTATCTTGACTAAACATTAAGATAGATTAGGTTACTCTACAATACTTGCAGCTATAAATTTTTGATGTATACATCTTTACATTTTTAGGAATGTGTTTTTAAGAAAATTACCAATTGTTTTGAATGTAAAATTAAATTTTTTATGTGGGTCGAATGTACACCATGAATTTCGGCACATATATTCGGCACTATCATGAGAAGAATCCTCTCTGTCGTTATATATAAAACCCCAAAAGAACGTACGACTGTTTGTAGCTATCACATAACAATTATATCCGCAACTCATGCTTGTAATCTGCTCTTTGATATTCATTTCATGTATATTCAATTGATGTATACTGCATTCTTTTTCTTTACCTTCGATCGAATTGTGTGTGTAATATATCTAAGTTAAATAAATGTAATATATCTAAGTAAAGTTAATAATTATTATTACTAATATGTATTCATGATGATATCGTCGTAATACTTTACTTTGCCATCCTCAGTCAAAAGGAGAAAATTACTCATGTTAGTTGCAGCTTTTACAATTCTTGTGTTGCTCCAATCAATCTTATAGGAAGTATAACATATGTAATGTGAGAGGTTTTCACGAGTTACCACATTTTCAACCTCATTGTCTGTAGATTGAACTTCAAAATTGAATGTTTTTGCACTTGTATCTTCCATCCATACATATTTCTTTTAAAAAGATAATGTGATCATTAATTTATTCAGTTAAATTAATTATACAAGATGTTATTTTTTTTAAATTGAAATCCTTGAATATTTCATTTTTCCTTAAGAATACGAAAATTTTTCAAATGAAATTGGAACTGTTTTGAGAAGTACATATTTTGATCACATTTTTTTCTAGGTGGGAGCACTAAAAAAATACGAAGGTTATTTCCATAAATACTACTGTAAATAAAATAACATAATTTTTTTACATAATATGATTCTTCTAATTATTCTATGTATAAAATTTATATGAACAGAATATAATACGTGGGATCATTTAGTGTAATAAAAACGCAATTACTTATTTCTAAAATTAATCATTTAACTTCATATATTTTTTTAAGCAATTATGTGTTTTCTTTACACAAATTGATTCTCTTTATTATTTTGTTTGTAAAAGTATTCGGGTGCAAATGAGAATAAAAAATATTCGTACAAGGAAATTTGTTTTTTTATAAAAAAAATCTTTGTAGAAAATAAACATTAATGTAGGAAGAATATATGTTTCGTTTATAAATTTTTATTAGAGTATCTGCTAGAGTATCAGCGCGCTTGCGCAAGAAGGAAAAGGTATAGGGAAGTTAGTAGAGTAAGAGCAGAGTTGGAAGATTGCGGAATGCGTTTGTGGCACGTCGAAGTATGAAGTGTGATTTGTGTATCTCTCCTAAATTGTTGTCCATAAATATTGGTTCCAAACATTCCTTCATTGGAACTATCTCATTTCCTACAAATTTGGGGGCTCATTCGAGATAAGAGCTGGTGAGAGACAAAAGGGGAGAAAAGACGAAAAGACGAAAAAGAGGAAAAGACTAAAGATGAAAAGACGAAGAAGAAAAGACGCAAGACGAAAGACGATAAGACGGGAGACGACAGGACGAAAGAAAAGACGAAGAGACGAAAAAGACGAAAAGACTAAAGACGAAAAGACTAAAGACGAAAAGATGAAGAAGAAATAAGACGAAAAGACGCAAACGATAAGACAGGAGACGACAGGACGAAGGAAAAGATGAAGAGCTGAAAAGACGAAAAGACGCAAGACGGAGAGGACACGACGATGAGAAGAAGAGAAAAGAAGAAAATAAGACGACATTCAAATCTCGAAAACGTTAAGAATCCGAAAGACATTGAGTGTGCAACTACAAGGTGAGGCAGCGACGTCAGAAATACATTGACAAGACTGTGAATGCGTCGGTAATCAGCACATCGAGAGGGCAGTGACAATACGACGCGGGTAAGCGCGCGACAGTAGCGCTGATAACGACATCGAAAGTGTGGTGGCAGGACTACTCGACGTAAGTGAACGTGAGACGGTTTTAAGTATACGCGAACAAGACGGTGCAACAACAGATCGCGCGACGGTAAACATTTGCCACATTGCGTAAAGTGTGCAGAGACAAGATGAATAATCTCGCGCAAATTGAACCAATCAAGCAGAAGATACGCACGGCGTCAACCGTGCCGTGACGGCTTTATACAAGTTTATCTTCGAAAAGGAAGGTGATCGAAAAAATAGACAAAGACTCAGAGACTTTGAGGATTTCATTTTTAAAAAAGACACAACGGGATACGTGGACAAAATAGAAGCGGCGCGAAAACTCTCGATCGGTGACCTGATATCCTGCTGTAACATTCTCGGTTTAGAGTACGGCGGAAACAGAGAAGAGATAATGACACGCATATTACATGGTTTAATGGATTTAGATACTCTCACGATTAAAGATAGTGAACAAGACGATGACTTAGACGAAGATGTGAGTGACGAGGGAACAGTTGACGAGTAAAATGACGAAAGAGAGGAAGAAAGAAGCAACGAAGAGGGCAAAAATAATCTCGAAGAGAACCACTCCACAAGAGGCGGTCAAGTGAACACGAACATCTGTCCATGACATACCGAGATGTACAAGATTTAATTAAAACTTTCACTGGAAAAGATACATATCCGGTTGAAAGATGGATATCTGAATTTGAAGATGCGGCTAATCTGTTCGGATGGTCGGAATTACAGAAATTAGTGTTCGCAAAGAAATCACCGGACCTGTTAAAATGCTCATCGACAGCGAAGGCGTTATCAAGTTGTGGAAGAAATTAAAAGAAATTTTACGAGACGAATTTATAGACGAATTTATAGAAAGTGCTCAAATACACGATATTCTGGTCAGAAGAAGACTGAAGAGGGACGAAACCTTGGAGGAATATTATTATGTGATGAAAGAAATAGCTGCTAGAGATAAAATAGAAGCAGAAGCACTCATAAAATACGTGATTAACGGAATTCCGGAAGACGCACAGGGCAAGATGATATTGTACGGAGCTAAAAAATTGACAGAATTCAAGGAGAAGCTTAAAGTATACGAAGCAATTCGGAAGAAGAATACTAAAAGGATGAGAACGAGAGAGAAGAAAAGCATGTCGAAGAAGACAGAGGAAGCGAGGAAACTAACAACACCAAAAAGTGGCGAAAAAGAACAGGAGATAGACGTGCGGCGATAAAGGACACAAATCTAAAGACTGTAAGAAGAAAGAATTAGGTAAAAAATGTTTTAAGTGTCAAAAATACGGACACACGGCAAATCTGTGTAACGCGTCAGGCGATAGAAGCTGTAGCGGATAAAAAAACGACGGTAATTAATATGGTTACTGATTCATCGAGCGGTAGAATGTTTAAATCGCGATAAACAGTGTGGGAGTTAATGCGTTAATTGATACCGGCAGTCAAAACGGTAATGCGCAAAGATGTTTACGATAAAATGAAATTAGATAAGCTACGGAGAAATAGTATCTGTTTAACTGGTTTTGGAAAAAACGAAGTGCATTCATTAGGTTGCGTAAATACAATTGTAGAAGTAGATGTTGATGAATATCCGTGTATAGTGCACGTTGTGCCAAATGAAGCTACAAATTCAAGCGTTATAATTGGTAGCGATTTCCTAGCGATGACGGAAATGACCATCAATAACGACGGAATAACTATACGAAGAGCAACACCTGCTCAATTGTTAACACAAATCAACGTGATCGAAAAGCAACCGTTAGACATTGGTAATGTAACGGATCCGAAAGTACGCGAAGAAGTAGAGATAATTGTTGAAACGTATCAAGTAAATAAGTGTAAGATAACGGACGTGAGCATGCATATTGTACCAAAAGACGAAAGACCTATCTTTCAAAAACGCGACGATTATCGGGCACCTGAGCGCGAAATAGTCGAAAACCAAATAGCGGAATGGCTAAACGACGGGGTCATTGAGAAGTGTAAGTCGGAATACGCGAGTCCAATAGTCGTAGTAAGAAAGAAGGATGGATCACCGCGTGTATGTATTGATTATAGGAAATTAAATCGAGTTATAGAAAGGGATAGTCATCCCTTACCACTAATCGAAGATCTACTAGATAAATTAGAGGATGCTTGTGTTTAGTACGTTAGACCTGAAAAATGGATTTTTTCATGTATCCGTAGAAAAAGAGAGTCGAAAATATATGGCGTTTGTCATTCCGAACGATCAATATCAATTCTTGAAAATCCCTTTTGGATTATGTAATTCGCCGAGGGTTTTCTAAAGATATATTAATGCTGCTTTCTGGGATTTGATTAGACAAAATATAGTGTTACTTTACGTGGATGACTTGATCGTGCCGGCAGCAAACGAACAAGAAGCGTTGGAACGCTTGCGAATCGTACTAAAAACAGCTAGCGACTACGGTTTACAAATTAATTTTAAAAAGTGTCAATTCGTGAAAAGAATTATCGAATTTCTAGGTCATATAGTAGAAGGGGACAAAATTTACCCTTCCCAAGAGAAAGTCAAAGCCATGATAGATTACCCGAAAGAATTAAAAGATATTCAAAGCTTTCTTGGATTAACGGGTTTCATCAGAAAGTTTATACCTTCGTATTCTACAATTGCGAAATCGTTGAGCGACATGTTGCGGAAAGATCAATCATAGGAGTACAAATTAGTTCGGTTCATTTTTTTGTATTCAAAAATGCATTTATTTCAAAATAAAATGAATGAACAGATTAATTAAAATATTGTCAATCGCTGGCTACTACTTTTCCCCATCTCTCAGGCAATTTTCGAATTCCATCTCGAAAAAATGACTCGTCTTTGGAGGCGATCCAATTTTGGAGCCAATTTTCGATTTCTGCGAAAGAAGTGAACCGATGACTTGCCAAATCGTGCTACATCCTTCGGAACAACCAGTAATTAGAAGGAGCAATGTCCGGAGAATACGGCGGGTGCGGTAAAACATCCCATTTGAGCGTTTCCAAATATTTTTTTACGACTTTAGCGACATGAGGCCGAGCGTTGTCATGAAGAAAAATAACTTTATCATGTCTTTACTCGTATTCCGGCCGTTTTTCTCGCAATGCACGGTTCAAACGAATCAATTGTAGCCGATATCGATCGCCCGGTGGGATAATGGAATCGCCAGGTTTCAACAGCTCATAATAAACAATACCCTTTTGGTCCCACCAGATACAGAGCATGATCTTCGAACCAAGAATGTTCGGCTTTGGTGTTGATGTTGAGGTCGATGGCAACGATTGACCGGGCTTAGCGTAGTATTTTTTCTTCTTGGGTTTGTCGTAGAATATCCACTTCTCATCTCCAGTCACAATCTGATGCAAAAAACCTTTTCTTTGGTGTCTTTGAATCAGCTGTTCGCAAGTGAAAAATCGCCTTTCAACGTCTCTCGGTTTCAGTTCATAAGGCACTCAATTTCCTTGTTTTTCAACGCAAGCTCCTCTTGTGTTTGTCTCTGATCTTCTTCGAGTAATGCCTCTAATTCTTTGTCTTCGAATTTTTTTGGCTGTCCAGAGCGAGGCTTGTCTTCAACGCTGAAATCTCCATCCTTGAAATGTCGAAACCATTCCCTACATGATTTATCAGTTGGAGCAGTGTCACCATAAACTTCGACAAGCATTCGATGGGCTCCAGCTACACTTTTCTTCCAATTAAAACAAAAAATTAGAACCTCCCGCAAATGCTGCTTGGTTAACACAAAATTCGACATTTCACAGTAAAAATCAAGGTTTTTGTATGAAACTCAAAGCGATATAAACTGAATATTATTAGCAGATGTTTAACCTCTCTGAAAACGCCAAAATCAGTTGTCACTATGAACCATTCACAACAGCCGTAGCCAGCTTTTGGAAAATTAACCGAACTAATTTGTACTCCCAATATAATTTTGACGATAAAGCTCGAAACGGGTTCATACAATTGAAGACGACTCTAACTCAGAACTGAATCCAGTACTGAAAATATATCGTTCGCGACACGAAACGGAAGTACATACGGACGCAAGTATAAACGGTTATGGAGCTGTACTTCTGCAGCGTTCAGACGAAGACAACTTATTACACCCAGTATATTTTATGAGCAAAAAGACTAAAAAAGAGGAAAGGAATTACACGAGTTACGAATTGGAGGCATTTGCGATAGTAGAGGCACTTAAAAAATTCTGAGTATACCTGTTAGGAATTCAATTTAAAATAATTACTGATTGTGCGGCTTTTCAGCGAACCATGAGCAAAAAAGAGTTAAGTACACGTATTGTGAGATAGGCTTTAGTGTTAGAGGATTATAATTACATCATAAAGCACAGACCAGGAATCCGTATGAAACACGTCGATGCTTTGAGTCGACATCCGGTTATGATAATAGCGAAAAGTCCAATTATACCACAGATTAGGAGTCAACAAGCAAGTGATGAAGAGATTTAAGCGATAGAAGAAATTGTCAAAGACAAATCGTATAAGAATTATCACATAAGCGGCGATTTATTATATAAATTTCAAGATGGTAGAGATTTACTTCGTTATTCCCAGAACACTAGAATTAGACGTAATTCGAACGATTCACGAGAAACGACGTATGGCGGCAAAACGTACCAAAGAGCGTAATGAAATTAGAGCTAGAGCGAAAGAACAAATTCTGAAAGTGCAATCGGAGAATTGTAAGACATATAATCTCAGACGTAAGAAGGCTACAGAATACCAAGTGGCAGACCTAGTAGCAATTAAACGAACACAATTAGGTCCAGGCCGAAAATTACGAGCGAAATATTTAGGACCATATCGAATTGAGAAGGTTAAGCCTAACGACACATATGATGTGATTAAAAGCGACTCTCACGAAGGACCTGTAAGTACTTCTACTTGCGCTGAATATGTTAAACCTTGGAATACAGTTAATTATAAATAATCAATTTTATTTGTAAGACGTTAATTATAAGTAATCAATTTTATTGGTAAGACATTAGTTATAAATAATCTATTTTATTTTTGTAAGACGTTTTAATGTTAAGTCGACTAATAGTAAATGAGTTCAAGCGATCATAGCAAACACGATAAGAGTGTTTTATTTTTGTGAATTTAGTGGAAATCGTTTTGTGTGACGTTGTTTACAGCTGGTGTCGTGCGAGACGCACGATTGTGCAGAATGGTCGAATGTAGGAAGAGTATATGTTTCGTTTATAAATTTTTATTTTATTCGCGCGTTTCCGATTATGATGATATGTGTTAGAATATCAGCGCGCTCGCGTAAGAAGGAAAAGGTAAAGGAAGATTAATAGAGTAAGAGCAGAGTTGGAAGATGGCGGAACGCGTGTGTGGCACGTTGAAGTGTGAAGTGTGATTTGTGTATCTCTCCTAAATTGTTGTCCATAAATATTGGCTCACCAAACATTCCATCATTGGAACCATCTTACTTCCTACGTTAATTAGCAATTTTATACAATGAATACATTTTATTTTAACATAAACAAACGAGCTTCATATTTCTAATTTTAGAAGCTAAATTTCTCGTCTGTACGAATACTTTTTGAGCATTCAAACAATACAATTTTTAATTTTCACTTATTTTTCGGATGATATAATTACACATCTTTTTATGTATATATAATTTTAAAAAACATACACTCCATTCTTTATGAATAAATTATTAATTATTCAACAAGAAATGATCATTAATTAAACGTCGAATCGACATCAAATTGATGTTGAAATCATCGTATTTATATCGATTCGACATCAATTCGATGAGTCATTTCTCGCTGGATAATATTTACTTTTTAAAAATAAAGTTTTTTAAAAAATATTTTCTCTGTACTAATACTTTTTCACTTACTGTATGAATGCTCAATATGACGACAAAATGTTGCAAGTTATTCCATTCAGCGAACCTAGCAATATAGGCATTTTCTATGACTAACTTTTTTTCTCCTTATTCTATTCAAATGTCCCAATTAGTGACAAAGTAACTCGTGGCAAAAGAGAATTAATAAATTGTCGATACGTATGTCACAATAAGTACATGAAATTAATTTTTTTTAGCAAGTTTGGACACATTTAAGATTAAGATAACATAATTTTTTTTATTTTTTTCTTAGGAATTCTTAATTTATTTATTACATATTTATAAACGTTGTTTTTGTATGCAATTTAATGACACATGTATTCGAAATTGTTCCAATTTATGACGCATATTGATCCATATCACTGATAGAGGATATAAACATATAACGTCCCTAATATTGACACGTCGTATAAACAAAGGAACATCCTTATTACTGATATCCAGTTAAATAATCTTATATTTAATTTAAATTATGTTTAAACGTATCTATAGATTGCCACTATGTACTCAATATTGTATTTGATTAAAATATTGGAAGTTATACAATGGAATTAAACAATTTAACTAATGAAAATATATTGCCGTCTTAAGTTAGGAACTGCACCGGCTATCACAAATTGATACAAAATCATGAGTGTTCCTATTAATAACTTAAGCAAGATAATTCATAGATTAGAAACTCATATTTGTATATTTTTTAAATTCTGCAAGACTGTTAGTTACATTATTAATATTGTTTCTTAATTTAATAACAATTGATATTTATAAATTACATATTTCATTTAACAATAGGAACGTTTTTATTGATTTATATGATATTTGTTTAAAATGTCAGTAATAAAGGCAAACAAAATTTGAGTACCGATTAGTGATGCATTAATTAACATGCATTAAAATATGTATTTTTGTGACATTTTCAGTTATTATTCACCATGTTTTTAATATCTATTTAATTTTGGGTGCTTACTTTTATTTACTTTTAGTTTAATAATAGTTAGGATCATTCGACGAAGAGATCGTTGATATAGTCGTCGCCTTACAAGATGTTAGTGAGCATCTGTTAGATTTGTTATCATCATTGATAATACGCTTACAATTATAATATTTTAGCGTTTACGAAAGCGTTTAATTTTATTCAAAATTCGTTGTAATAGATAACGCATACAAATTTTAAATACTAAAACATTTTTTAGAATGAACATACAACACCCATTGATCAATATTAATTGATTTATTAAGAAAATCAATCACGATTGTCACTAATTGGGACATGTATTCAGCTAACTCTTCTTATTTTTATTTCATAAAATTAAATCTTAGGATTCCTTTAATATATGGAATAAAGTATAAAATATCTGACTTTGATGTATCTACTTAATATTTTTATTTGTATATAGAACAATTATGCAATCATATTATATTTTTAAAAAATCATAATTTTATTTAAAAAAATAAAATTCTTTAAATCTTTATGATGCTTCTGTCTAAAAAAAAATTAACGTCACCAAAACATACTTTCTTCTGGAAATTGCTCTTTCATTTTCATATCAAACGTTTGTTTCATAAAAAATAATTGAAATATTCAAAATTTTCAATTTCAGTCCTTAATATGGATTAGATTCAATGAATTTAGTTACATTGAATTTATATCATAAAATAAAATAATGTAATATATATAAAACCTTATAGAAATCTAATAACAAAACTGACAATTTAATCACTTATTTTTCCTATTAAAAGTGCTGTTAACAATACTTTTAATACTCAAAATAAATGATTAATTGTGACCAGTACTGGTATTAAATTTCTATAAGGGAATTTCTATAAGGGTAATCCAAAAATTAATAGAGAGTTGATCATACATTTAGTAAACTTACAAAATTGTTGTCAATATTATGAGCTTGTTCAATACATTAAATGTAAAAAAAAATAAATTTTAACTTCTTATAACTTTATATTGTAAAGCATTATGCACTTATTACATGCACATAATAAAAACAAACATAAAAAAATAACGTATTATATTAAATGTATTTAGCATGTACGTTAACGTTGTAAATATACAAAATATACCCATTTTTCCTTTATAAGATTATTGCTTTTATAGGATATATACATAGTTAATGATACATGTCATAAGTTTTACTATTTCTTTCTTAATAAAAACACTTTTATAAAGGTAAAATTTATCTTATAATACAATTTGTCTTTTTTCATTTTCATATATTTTGTTTATTAAGAGATAAAAATTATAATTTTCTTTTGCATTCTGTGTACTTTATACCCTGCACTATAATGTAATTTTTAAATTCAAAAAAATTCAGCGAAGATTCATTCTAGTAAAATATAAAATGGCAATTTTTATTACGATATATAAATTGTTCATGTACCTCTACGTCTTGAGTAACCAAAAAAGCATTGCTTTGTTCTGTAATATTCGCAATCAACATCTTAATTTTTTTTTTGAACATAATATCCACTTTTGTCGGATGGTATTTTTTATTTATATAGCCAATATCATTCTTATAGGAGACGCACGATTGCGATGCAAGCCTTGGATAAAAATAATTACAATTGTTATTAAATATATATGGCAATATATTGTAAATACAAATAAATGATTAATTAGGAAAGTGATTAATTAATGTATCTCGTTTTGTGTGAAGAACAATAAATGATAGATATCAGAATTTTAGTTTATTGGAAAAGTTGCAGATTGAACTAAAATAAATGTGGAAAGAACGTAACTATTGCGTATGAAAGGATGTAAGAACTGTAAGAAATTAACAAAAAAAATCTAAAATTTTTTAAGTATTCTTTTGAAATTTTTCAACTATGGTATGGTTTTTGCTCAAGCTTTGTTGATCATGTTTTCTTATATATCATGGTCATAAGATCCGATCGTATAATGATATACTTTTTGTAATTAATATTAACGATCGCGATTCTGTGTGCCGTTTTACAAAGACAAAAAACTGTTATCTTTTCTTGATATTATAAAATTAAAAAAAATAGAAGAAAGTAAGATTTCTCAAGAAATATTATACGCTTTATCTATGCTCATACAAATGTAAAAAGTAATATAATAATATAATAAGTAATATAATAAATTTAAAATATTATAATGAATTCAAATTTAAATATGATAATTATCACATCACTTTTTTACTTTGCGAGGAATGTTAATTGGTTATTACGTTGCTTTTATTGTCTGCAAATTCTCGATGCCTACATGGACAATTGAATTAAAATCTTGGACCTTTTCATATTGCTTGTACTTCTTACTCAATCTTCGCTTTCTCTCTTTTGCGTATGTTCATCTTGTTTTAAGTACAAAAATTTTTGGGAATTTTAATCAACACACAAACGAATGTCTTCTTGTATTTTTTTTAGTTTTCTAACTTTCGCATACGTAGAATAAGCCCGGATCTACAATAGATTTTTAAACCTTAAGTCATAAGAAATGAACGAATCATAGTCAATTATTCCCCTTCCATTCGATTGTAACAGGTAAATTTCTTATGGCTTAAATCTTAAAATATCTATTGTAGATCCGGACGAAGAGTCTTTTCACATAAATTTTCATTGTCGTATAAAAAATATGCACAAAGAAGAATCTAATCATATTTATGTTATAAAGACATGTAACATGCCGTTGGATAAATCAACTAAAAATGAGTCTAATTCTGGATCATTAATATCAGTCTATTATTATTTCGAAATTATTCGTCGTATGTATATTTAAAAAAGTAAGAAAAAAGAAACTTTAAACTTACCAATATTTGAAATCGATGATTAAGTCTATTTTTTGCCGTTTCTTATTATTTTCTGTAAGGTTTTCGTTAAATTTGAGCGAAATAGACATGATAACGATCGATACGTTACACTAAATACAATTTGTAGAAATATTTGTTAAATATCTTTTTTAACAATATCCTATTTCACAAATGATGTGTACTGACGGTTGAAATCGGAGAAAAACGAACTCTTTCGTTGAAAATCAATATAAATTTATTTTCGTGTTATTGAGAGGCCAGTATAAATATTATCTACTTAGGGTTTGCTTTCATGTTAGAATATGATTCGAGTTATTTATATTAGAAATTAGCTTTTATGACCTATACCAACTTTAAAATATTAAATAGTGCTATAAGTTGTGAGTGATTCTAATCGTTACGTGGTCAAATTGAATATCCCCGTTGTCACCAATTAAGATTAATAACTATTCCGCACAGAATGCGCTCGTGTTTTTAAATTCTTCAACACGTTATTGTGCATTTATATACAGGGTGATCTATTTAAATCGCCCATCTGAAATATCTCGCTTATTTTTGATATAAAAAAATATTTCGAATGTGGAACTGTTTCGAGAGAGATGTATTTTGATCATATTATCTTTTTTCTAAGTGGAGGCATCAAAAAGATATAAAAGTCACCTCTACTTTTTCAAATAGAATTGTATGACTTTTTTTACACATTATGATTCTAATTCCTATTTCTTTAATTATTCTATATGAAGGTATTAAGGTAGTAATTTCAAAAAATCAATAATTTATTATTTTACACTTTATTCTAGCACATATTGACATAAAATGCTAAATAAATACTAAATTTCTTTCCACCAACTTTTATCTCATTATTCTGTTCATAAAAGTATTACGGTATGATTATCAAAAAGTTAATAGTTGTAGATGTTGACTATAGCCAGCATTCGCGAAATAATTTATTCTGTTCCTTATAATAAGAGTTACGCTAAATCATCTCGTACAGCCGTATACAACCAAGTGTAACACTGATTTTGTCAAATGATATATATTTGAACATAATTAGTAGTAGTAGTAATATATTGATGTCTATAATGCTACTGGCATGAAGAAAATAAAAACACGAAGAAATTATAATCATTTTGTTTTAAGGAATAATTCCTTTTTTTTTAAACATGTCAAGGTGGCGTTGTTCAGGCGTAAAATGTAATTTTAAATGTCAAAAACTGTCCATGTATGATGTATACACTTTTGTCCCGATCAGTGGAGGTATTCCGGTGGACCGCTGAGCAAAAAGGTTAATAAAACTGTTTCCATTAAGTATAATGATAGCATATTTTTTTTCAGATGTATTCTACAGTTTTGTCCGCTACAATAATTCTTATGACGCAGATATATAACAGACTTCTTATTCTCGTAGTAATGCATGAGAAATTTTGTTTGGTTATGGTTTGGTATAAATAAGGTGTGCACGCGTATATATATTTAAATATATTTTATTTAAATCTCGACATCTTGAATAACACGTTATAACATCTCGTTATAACAATCAGAAAGTATTTCTAGTTGTTATAAAAAAATTCAAGATTCAATTAGAACTAGTATTATATTATAAGTATTATATTATTTATTACATTATAGGATTTGTTTAATATGTTTCAGTTTGATTGGAATTTCGGTTAAAAGTTCTTAGAAAAATGCAGAATCACAATTAATTTTAATCTCAGCGCACTATAGTAGTCCATTTATTGTGTCAGTCGACATAAGTTGTGCGAATATGCTGTATTGCTTTGTGTCGTCGTGTTGTTTCTTGTGAATTGGAATATGTACTATGACTAATGAGAAAATATCTTCTTTTTCCGTCGTCAATATAATTTTGAAAGAAAATGTATAGAAATTATGAAAGTTATAGCAATAGAATCAATTTGAATTTCTCTGCTACATATATTACTTTGTAAGTACCTCATAGATTATGAGTGTACGATGCGCATGATGTATCATTTATCTTTGTTTACATTCGATGAACAACAAGGAGAAACAGTATATTATATATAAAAAACGAAATGGCCCAATAATTGACAGAAAGACATGTTTGATCAACAAGATATATTCTGCGAATATAGATAACAAGAAAAATTTATCCAATTAATGAGTAATTCTGGTATATTTAATAAGGAAATTATTCATACAACTATGCCGTTCAAAATAGAAATGATATTATTACATAGTAGCATAATTAAAAAATTAATAATGCGGGATTATACGAAAGCGTTGAAAATATATTGTATGTATGGTAATACACATTTTATTGAACTAATCGTTACTGTAGTATTGACGAAATGAAATAATAAATAAATCGTATGCACTTTTAATTGTTACCTGCGATTATAAAATTTATTAAAATTCATCTAATGAAATTTAATAAATGTACCTTCACTTTGTTGTTAGTGTCCGATACAAAGAAGAATAATTTGTATAATGGAAAAGGAATTTAATGTATACTGATTCCACGTAAAATTCATAAAAATTTATCCTCAAAGAAAAGGAGGATAGTGATTATGAAGAAGTACCTATATAAAACAAAATACAAAGAAAAGGAGAATAGTGATTATGAAGAAGTATTTATATAATAATAAAATACGTGCGTCATTATAATTTTTTATATGTATGGATACAAAATGTCTCGGGTACCAACTGTTCGAGATGATCCGAACCCGAGTGGTATTTTAAATAAATGTTTTTATACTTAAAAATTTATTACATGTTTAAAATTTAACAATTTCTTATTTTATTGATTCTTTCAAAAATTTTAATCATTAATCTCTCTAATATATACTCGTTTGAGTCTTATCTCGAATCTTTGTGCCTACATTTTTTTTATTAAATTCATGTATTTACGATGACATTGTTAAAAGATTGTAAAGCATTTTCATAAAATTACCTAAGTCTACAAAAACCAAAATTTACTATTTATTACTAAATATATGCATGTATTGTATCATAGAAAAGTTTATATATATATATATATATACATATATATATGTGTATTATACATATATATATATATATATATATACAATAAATATATATATATATACATGTATAATTATATAAATAAATGTATAATCTGCTATTATTAAATTAATTAATATCCTAAATGGAAAGAAAGTGCTCTACCATTAAGACAATGCACGGGTTCACACGTGCCCGGCATCGATGGCCAAATTCAACGAATTCCTCTACGAATTGCTTCCTCATCCAATATATTCGCCAGATTTAGTCCCCTGCGACTATTTCCTGTATCCAAATCTGAAGAAATGGTTCGAAGGAAAGAGATTCACCACCAGAGAGCAGCTCATCGCCGAAACAGAGGCTTATTTTGAAGGGTTGGACAAATCATATTATCCGGACGGCTTGAAAAAGTTGGAGAATCGTTGGATCAATAATCGAGCTGAAAGGAAACTATGTCGAGAAATAAAAATGAATCGATAAAAAAAAAATGTGTTTTACTATGTTTTTCTAAAAACTTATTGGCTTGCCCTCGTACAATGCATCAAACTTACGTATACATTTTATTCAATTACCGCCAGTATTAGCATATATTACCCTATAGGCATCACGGAAAGGTTCCTGAACGGATTTTGCAAATTGTGTGTTGTGTATGTATATGTGTGAGGGTCAGGGTGAAGAAGGTGTATATTTATTCTTTAAAATTGTATACTTCCTCCTCATCTTCGGATGATCTCTTGTAAACATGCATGCATATTGAAGTTCTAATTGAAATCTGAAGAATTTATTCGATGCAATGCTGCTTTCAGTGCACTAAATTTCCTCATTGTCAATCGTATCATACTGAAAAGAATCCTCATTATAAATGTTATAATGCATCAAAAAATTATGAAAAAATTACACAAGAAAGGAAAAAGAGTGTAGTTTATAGTAAAAAACTTAACTTCATAATTTCTGAGTTAAATAAAAAGTGGTGCAATTTCGGCAACCTTACTTTATGTATGTATACATAGGGTGGTCCACTTAAATCGACCATCTGAAATATCTCGCTTATATATGATAATATAAAAAATGTTTCAAATGAAAGTAGAGCTGTAAAAATACCGTCAAATTCAATTTTACAATTACTTATGATAAAATTGCGGTAAAATGGTAATTTATTGGTAATTTTTGCTATATTTTTTATCTTTATAGTTTCATGTATTATACAAATATATGCTGTATTTTCGTACTTATGTATAAAATAAAACAACATTCTTCTAATATCCCTAATAGAAATCGCTGATAGAATAACAGGGCCATTGATTACATCTAAACATATTATTTAATCGTAACAAAACATGTCTATTGACGACTAATCCTTAAGATGGCTACTTGTCGCGTTAGGTCGCCGACTGATGGTGTTGATCGCGAAATTATAAACGAGTGTATATCAATTGTCCAAATCACTAATTGGCTAATTAAAAATAATAAAATTTTATTGGTTAAGCAGTGAAAAATTACTAGCAGGCCGACGTGAGTAGTCTATGCAAGTGCGCCATTCCCGTTGCAAATCGTCCCTGATTTGGCATCCCTGACTTAAACGTTGTCGGTTGTCTAATTATTATATGAATACACAGTATCAAAATGAAAATTTAACAAAGCGTTTTTAACTTAATGACTAAATACTCTCAAATTATTGTACTTTATTTTTTTATATAATTTTTGAAAATTATTATTTTACTGGCCTCAAAAAAATTACCAAGTAATATAGCATAATTTACTGGGTAAGTTATTATCACATTTGGTCATTTTCATTTCTAAATGAAGGTGAAATGGTTTCGAGGAGCATTATGTCATGTTATTTTTTTCTAGGTGGAGACGCCAGAAAGATATGAAGGTCATCTCCACTTTTTAAAATGGAATTACATATTTTTTTATATAATGATTCCTTTAATTATAATTATTCCTCTAATTATAATTATAATTATTCAGCATATAAAAGTATTGAGATATAAAAAGAATTAACAGTTTACGAGATATTTTACACTTTATTCTGGTACATATTGACATAAAATTTTAATAATTCGTAAACTATTAACTTTTTGATAATCATACCGTAATATTTTTATGAACAGAATAATGAGACGAAAGTTGGTGGAAAGAAATTTATTTAGCATTTTATGTCAATATGTGCCAGAATAAAGTGTAAAATATCTAGTAAATTAATGGTTTCTTGAAATCACTATCTTAATACCTTTATATATAGAATAATTAGAGGAATCATATTGTATAAAAAAAATAATCATACAATTCCATTTGAAAAAGTGGAGGTGACTTTTATATCTTTTTGACGCCTCCACTTAGAAAAAAGACAATATGATCAAAATACGTCCCTCTCAAAACAGTTCCACTTCCATTCGAAACATTTTTTTATATCATCAAAAATAAGCGAGATATTTCAGATGATCAATTTAAATAGATCACCCTGTATATATATATGCACAGCAACGTGGTAAAGAATTTAAAAACACGAGCGCATCCTGTGCGGAATAATTATTAATCTTAATCGGTGACAACGGGGATGTTCCATTTGACTACGTAACGATTAGAACCTCACAACTTATAGTACTGATTTCATATTTTAAAGTTGGTATAGGTCATAAAAGCTAATTTCTAATATAAATAACTCGAATCATATTCTAACATCATGAATGCAAACCCTAAGTAGATAATATTTATACTGGTCTCTCAATAACACGAAGATAAATTTATATTGATTTTCAAGGAAAGAGTTTGTTTTTCTCCGATTTCAACCGTCAGTACGCATCATTTGTGAAATAGAATATTGTTAAAAAAGATATTTAACGAATATTTCTACAAATTGTATTAAGTGTAACCTATCGATTATTATCATGGCCTTTTCGCTTAAATTTGACGAAAACCTTATACCAGAAAATAATAATAAACAAAATATGGATTTACACAATTTCAAATATTGGTAAGTTTAAAGTTTCTTTTTTCTTATTTTTTTAAATATACATCGACGAATAAATTTGAAATAATAGACGGTTATTAATGATCCAGAATTAGACTCATATTTTTAGTACACTGATTTAGCCAAAAGATTATCCAACGGCATATTACATGTGCCTTTATAATATAAATGCGATTAGATTCGTCTTTGTGCATATTTTTATGCGACAATGAAAATTTATGTGTAAAGTTTAGTCAATAGATTTTTAAACCTTAAGTCATAAGAAATGGACGAATCATAGTCAATTATTCCCCTTGCATTCGATTGTAACAGGTAAATTTCTTACGGCTTAAATTTTAAAATATCCATTGTAGATCCGGGCTTATTCTGCGATTGCGAAAGTCAGAAAACTAAAAAAAATACAAGAAGATATTCGTTTGTATGTTGATTAAAATTCCCAAAAATTTTTGTACTTAAAATAAGATGAAAATCGCACATTTGAGCGTTGAAAAGAGAGAACGCAAAGTTTGAGAGTAAGAAGTACAAGCAATATGAAAAGATCCAAGATTTTAATTCAATTGTTCGCGTAGGCATCGAGAACTTGCAGACGATAAAAGCAACGTAATAGCCAATTAACATTCCTTGCGAAGTAAAAAAATGATGTGATAATTATCATATTTAAATTTAAATATATTATACTTTTTATATCTGTATGAGCATAAGTGAAGCGTATAAGATTTCTTGAGAAATCTTCCTTTCTTCTATTTTTTTTAATTTTATAATATCAAGAAATGATAGCAGTTTTTTGTCTTTATAAAACGACACATAGAATCGCGATCGTTAATATTAATTACAAAAAGTATATCGTTATACGATCGAATCTTATGGCCATGGTATACAAGAAAACATGATCAACAAAGCTTGAGCAAAGATCATATCATAGTTAAAAAATTTTAAGAGAATATTTAAAAAATATTAGATTTTTTTTTGTTAATTTCTTACAGTTCTTATGTCCTTTCATACGCAATAGTTATCGTTCTTTTCACATTTATTTTAGCACAATCTGCAACTTTTCCAATAAACTAAAATTCCGACATCTATCATTTATTGCTTTTCACACAAAACGAGATACATTAATTACTTTCCTAATTAATCATTTATTTGTATTTATAATATAATGCAATATATATTTAATAATAATTGTAATTATTTTTATCCAAGGCTTGCACTGCAATCGTGCATCGAATATAAAAATGGTATTGGCTATATAGATAAAAAATACCATCAGACAAAAGTGGATATTATGTTCAAAAAAAAAATTAAGATGTTAATTGTCAATATATATCATAGCGATGTTTTTTTGGTTACTCAAGACGTTGAGGTACATGAACAATTTATATATCGTAATAAAAATTGCAATTTTATATTTTACTAGAATGAATCTTCGCTGAATTTTTTTTGACATTTAAAAATAACATTATAGAGTACACAATATAAAGTACACAGAATGCAAAAGAAGATGATAATTTTTATTTCTTAATAAATAAAATATATAAAATTGAAAAAAAGACAAATTGTTTTATAAGATAAATTTTACCCTTATAAAAGTGTCTTTACTAGAAAAAAATAGTAAAACTTATCACATGTATCATTAACTATGTATATATCTTTTAAAACAATAATCCTATAAAGGAAAATTGAATATATTTTGTATATTTACGACGTTAACATACATGCTAAATATATATGATATAATACGTTATTTTTTTATATGTTTGTTTTTATCATGTACATGTAAGTGCATAATGCTTTACAATATAAAGTTATAAGAGATTAAAATTTATTTTTTTACATTTAACGTATTGAACAAGCTCATAATATTGATAATTTTGTAAATTTACTAAATGTATGATCAACTCTATTAATTTTTGGGTTACTTTCCCTTATAGAAATTTAATACCAGTACTGGTCGCAATTAATTATTTATTTTGAGTATTAAAAGTATTGTTAACAGCACTTTTAATAGGAAAAATAAGTGATTAATTTGTCAGTTTTGGTATTAGATTTTTATATATTAAGGTTTTATATATATTACATTATTTTATTTTATGATATAAATTCAATGTAACTAAATTCATTGAATCTAATCCATATAAAGAACTGAAATTGAAAATTTTGAATATTTCAATTGTTTTTTATGAAACAAACGTTTCATATGAAAATGAAAGAACACTTTCCAGAAGAACGTATTTTTTGGTTTCGTTAATTTTTTTTTAGATAGAAATATTATAAAGGTTTAAAGAATTTTATTTTTTTAAATAAAATTATGATTTTTTAAAAATATAATATGATTGCATAATTGTTCTATATACAAATAAAAATATTAAGCAGATACATCAAAGCCAGATATTTTATACTTTATTCCACATATTAAAGGAATTCTAAGATTTAGTCTTATGAAGTAAGAATAAGAAGATTTACTTAGCTAAGTAAATGCCCCACTTAGTGACAATCGTGACTGTTTTTCTTAATAAATCAATTAATATAGATCAATGGGTATTGTGTTCATTCTAAAAACTGTGTTAGTATTCAAAATTGTATATGTATTATCTATTACTTATTGTATTATCTATTACAACGAATTTTGAATAAAATTAAATACTTTTGTAAACGCTAAAATATTATAAACATTTTATCAATCATGACAAATCTAACAGATGCTCTAACATCTTGTAAGGCAACGACTATATCCATGGTCTTTTCGTCGAATGATTCTAACTATTATTAAATTAAAAGGAAATTAAAGTAAGCACCCAAAATTAAATAGATATTAAAAACATTATGAATAATAACTGAAAACGTCACAAAAATATATGTTTTAATTTTAATGCATCACTAATCGGTATTCAAATTTTGTTTATCTTTATTACTGATATTTTAAATAAATATCATATAAAGCAATTAAAACGTTCCTATTGTTAAATAAAATATGTAATTTAAAAATATCAATTATTATTAAGAAACAATATTAATATTGTAACTTACAGTCTTGCAGAATTTAAAAAATATACAAATATGAGTTCCTAATCTGTGAACTGTCTTGCTTAAGTTACTAATAGAGACACTCATGATTTTGTACGTTTTTATACGTAGAATAATTAGAAGAATCATATTATGTAAAAAAATCATGTTATTTTATTTACAGTAGTATTTATGGAAACAATCTTCGTATTTTTTTAGCGCTCCCACCTAGAAAAAAATATAATCAAAATATGTACTTCTCGAAACAGTTCCAATTTCATTTGAAAAATTTCTTCGTATTATTCAGGAAAAATGAAATATTCAAGGATTTCAATATAAAAAAAATAACATCTTGTATAATTAATTTAACTGAATAAAATGATCAATCAATTATGTTTTTAAAAGAAATATGTATGGGAAGATATAAGTCCAAAAATTACATTCTTTAAAGTTCAATCTACAAACAATGAGGTTGAAAATGAAATTGTGGTAAATCATGAAAATCTCTCACATTACATATGTTATACTTCCCATAAGATTGATTGGAGCAACACAAGAATTGTAAAAGCTGCAACTAACAAGATTAATTTTCTCGCTTTGACTGACGATGGCAAAGTAAAGTATTACGACGATATCATCATGAATACATATTAGTAATAATAATTATTAACTTTACTTAGATATATTACATTTATTTAATGTAGATATATTACACACAAAATTCGATCAAAGATGAAGAAAAACAATGCAGTATACATCAAATGAATATACGTGAAATGAATATCAAAGAGAAGATTACATGCATGAGTTGCGGATCTAATTTTTATGTGGTAGCTACGAACCGCCATATGTTCTTTTGGGGTTATATATGTGAAATGGGGAATTCTTTTGATAGTGATGACGCGATGATGGAATGGACTAAACCACGGTTTACATTTGAGCCACATAAAATATCCACATTTGCATTCAAAACAATTGGTAATTTTCTTAAAAACATATTCCTAAAAATGTAAAGCTGTATATACATGAAGAATTTATGGCTGCAAGTATTGTAGAGTATTGTAGAGTAACCTAATCTATCTTCATGTTTAGTCAAGATAGCTTGTGGGATTGATTACACACTTGCTCTAACTGATCAAGGGAAACTCTACGGCTGGGGAGGTTACTTTTTCAAAACTTGCACCGATTATGACACATACTATGATGTAATCTATCCGCACCCGGTAAATGATTTGTTTCTGTAATTGTATTATGACAAATCGGAAAAGAGTAAGAAAGCATAAACTAAACCAAAAAATTTTTCGATCTGCAGGTGGATATAATTAATGTACGAAACCTATCAGACATCGCCGTCATTGATTACACTAATTTTGTCAAGTCTAGCAAGGATGGACTTGTGTACGCATGGGGTTTCATTTTTCGCAGAAACTATAAAAAACCAGCTGTTTGTGAATATACGAACGCGTTTGACATATCCAACTCGATGAATTGCACATATTAAAAGACTTGGAAACTGCATTCAACGATCAGGTTAGACTTTATTCTGTGTGTTTATTTGTTTCTCGAATTCAGTATTTCCAATGAAGTATCATAAAAATTGCAATACAATTTATTTTTACAATTTAGTTTTGAATCTTTAAAAGATGTCAAAAATTTTCAAATTCTTTCAACTGATGACGTGTTAAAAACCGCAAGCAAGCCATTAATTGAAAATGCTTACAATCTGAAATTTATTATACTGATTATCATAGTTCTATTTTATCTCCTTGGTAAAGTCTTAGCGTATTTTTCAATAACACCTCTCGTTTCGTGATCTGATATTTTAACCATCAGAACATTTCAAAAAAGTCCTTATCTACCGATATTTGTAACCTAGCATTTTCTTTTGCTTATATCTCAGATTGTAGTGCATCGATTTTAATTAATTTTTTTTTAATCTATTGTTTAAAGAAAAAGAATTTTTGAATTAGAAAGTCTAAAATGTCATAGCATAAAAGATATTTTGCAATAAGTGAAAAGGGATCGGAAAAAAAACGTCTGATCTATCGAAGGGGTTACGCCCTTTATAGATACTGAGGGTTAAATTTTTGATCTTTCTTTTTATTACATTTTTCCATTGCGTAACAAAAAAGATTTGGTGATTATATAATACACATGTCCAACTTTAATAACTAATTCGTGTTTCCTGTCTAAAGTCAACAAGTGATCTCACGATAATGGTCGAGAAACAATCAATTTATGTTCACAAAATTATCCTGAAGATTCGTTCCACATATTTTAGAACTATGTTCCAATCTAATTATGTTGAAAATAGACAACGGTACGTTTTTACAAAAAAAAGTATATTAAAAAAAAACCTTCTTTGTTTGATTTGTTTGTATATTGAATATTTTAATATATTTTTCTTGACAGCGTCATCGTGAATAATTATTATAGATATATCGTTTATAAAAAATTTTTAGAATATTTATATACCGGTATGATTAATCTATCTTCTTTTAAAAACCTATTAGGTGAGTTTGAGTTAAACGTGTCGAATATTACATATGTAATTCGCGACTAAAATATCTCTTTGCTGCAGATCTTTTGCAATTGGCAGATGCATTATGCGAGAAAAATCTCCAGATGGATTGTATACGAAAAATAAAGAAAACAATTAACGTATCGAACGTCATGTACTTTTTTAACCTTATCAACGACATAAACGAAGAATATCACAAGGAGGTAATTGTTTTTTTGTTTTTATTATGGATTTTTTTTTCTATTGTAAGACAAAAATATTGCAGAATTTATAATGGGATTAACATATTAATCCAATTGGGATATGTTTTCCATTTTTCTTTTTCTGTCCAAGTAAAATATTATTCCCTTTAAAATTTCTAGATGCGAATCTTTTACTTTATAAACAAATGTATATTCCATTCTGAAGCTCAAAGCCGAGACTATTTTGACACCGGAGGCAAAATAAAAAAACGCGCTCCTTAGTAAAAAATATTTCTTTATGACATGTGAAATATAACACAGTACAACACACATTTCCTCCCGCGAAAAAATCAAAGAGATTCTGAAAGCAGATGTAACAAAAAAAAAATATCCGTGCCTCGGCGTTTTACCAGATCAGTCGTTAATGTTTTTATAGTCATTTATCGTATTTGCTTTATATTGGGTTTTTACAATTGTTTAAAATTATATAATAATTTTTTAAAATAAATAATTGACGTTTTTGCAAGTAAAATTATGCGATGAGTCCGAGTACAAAAAAAAATAACTGAGAATTGTTTTTTTTCATACATTTTCAAATTTTTGTATAATAATAATACAATTATAATTATAATTATTATAAGAATCTTGGTCATTTGATTTGTCATTTATATGATTCCGGTTTTGTATCACGAATTATAGACCAGTATTCACCAAGCATGTGTCCGATGTCTTTTCCTTTAAAACGTTTCTCAATGTCTTGAAAACGTTCATCATGTTCATCACTGAATTCACCCAAATTTGGTGGAAATCCAAATGATTGTGAAGAAAGTGTATTTTGAGCGACATGTTCACTTTCATTGCATGAAAAGCAGAAATCATTTTAGCAACAATTTTTTTGTAATTGTCGGCTTTTTTATTGCCCAGAAAATTTTTAGTATCAGTCAGTACCGAGACAAGGGTATGCTTTCTTAACATCTACTTTCAGAATCTCTTTGAATTTTTTATGGGAGGAAACTTGTGCTATACAGCATTATAAAAAGACATTTGATGATACTTAAAAAATGTTAACTTGACTGATCGACTTGATCTGATAAAAGAACCGAAGAACTGCGAGACATGGGTACTTTTTTTTTACATCTACTTTCAGAAATATGTATGTTACAAATGAAACAGTTATTAAAATCGCAATAATATTTTTCGTATTTTGATAGATGCTAAATTATTTTGATAGATGCTAAATTATCATTTATTATATTATATTAAACTCTATATAGCCTTTCATTTTTTATTTCATTTTCAATTAAAAGATTTCCTATATTTTTCTGTATTTGATAAGGCCCACAGAAAAAAAAGTGCTGGGGTAAAGACCCAGCTATTACGTATTTTGAATCGCTGAATATGAATCCAACTGAATAAAAATAGGACCATCTAGGGTAAATTTTCAATCTAGAGCGAAAAAATAGGTCAAAAATCTTGAAATCTCTGCTTTTATTGATATATTCTAAGATCATTGGCAAAAAACTTCTGATTAAATCTAAACCATATGTTTCCTGAGTTGAGAATTACATGCAAATATAGTGATACATAGGTGCAAACATCTATAAGTACCGGCTGCCATGAAGGATGCTGGAGACGATAACAACTGCCCCGAACAACAGCCCCGTATAGAATGATTCGTTTTCTGATCCACCGTGGTAATGAAACCAGCGAAGGCGTGCTGCCTTGCAGGGGGGCAATAGGGTCCCATACAGCACAGAAACATTGCAGAAACATTGCAGAATGATTTCACTAAAACATTGCAATATTGCATGATGGTTGCAAAATGTTGCTGATTCATTGTTGCAAAATTCCAACAATGTTAAGATGTCCGCTGTTTGTTATATTGCAAAACGTTCCAAGAATATTGCAATGTAATGTATTTGGATAAATTTGTAACATGTATATGTGTATATGTGTATCCCGAACAAACTACAAATATTATCTACATTAATATAATAATACAGTCGCTTGGTAAGTTAATCATGAATTAAGTTAATTGCAGTGATTCTTTTTAATTCGAAATCACTCCGAGTCAATTTAAATCGATTAAAAAATGACGGTATGAAATTTATCAATAAAGTTAGGGTGCTGATTTATTCAGGCGTTCACATCAGGCATAATACCATTTATCACATAATTAATATTTCGATAAATTTTCAGCAGCTTAATTGTTTATCGTTCCGTTTATCTTATCCGATAATGATGATTGATTGTATCCAAACTTGATATTATATAATCTTTTGATTTCTTATTTAAAATAAATATAAAACTTAGCTAATGAAATGGCCGTCAAATAATAGATCAATAAATTTTTTATTTAAATATAAAATGAATTATATTAATTATTAAATCATAAGTGTTACTAAAAGACGACATAAATATTGAAAAAACTTATATTTTTAAATTATTATTATTGTAACAATTAAAAAATTACAATTTTGCAATATTTGTGGAATATTACAAGCATATTACTGACATTTTGTACGCAAATTGTTAATTTACATTTCTGTAATATCTCTGCAAAGTTACATTGCAATCTGCAATATTGCAACATTGCAACAATATTGCTTCAATCTTCTGTGAGAGTGGAGCAGTAATGTGATTAATAAGATTTGAAGGCAAAACAGTGCGAAAACACGCAGGAATATAAATCGATCTTTTTTTAAATATTCACAGATACAACGGTAAAGATGTGATGTACGGGCAGTTATTGTGTCTGATGGCTGCTTGCCTGAAAATTTGTCTGTGGTGAAACTTCTCGGGAATTATTAGGTTTAACCTGTCTGTAACGTAAGGCACTCAAAGTTCATCGCTAAAAGTTATGCAAGAGGTGTAGAGGTGTAGATACGGCATTTATTGCCACCTTGTTCATCAATTAAGGATTACCTTTTGTAGTAGCGTATTTGTATTTCAGAGCGTTCAGTACAGTATTTTTTTACGGCTGATAAGTATTTTTTAACTTGGGAAACATATGGTCTAGGTTTAATAAAAAATTTGCCAATGATCTTAGAATATATTAATAAAAGAGATTTCGAGGTTTTTGACCCATTTTTTCTCTGGATTGCACATTTACCATGAATGGTCCTATTTTAATGTCAGATTCGTATTCAGCGATTCAAAATACATAAGAATAGCTGGGTCTCCATCCCAGTACATGATACTTTTTTTCTGTGTAATTTTTCTTGACTTAATGACGATCTTAAATAATTTTTCATTAATTTTAATTTAATGTAGCATCAAGTGGATCGTAATTCAAAATTACGATTAATAAATTAGAATATATAGGAAATTAAATTGCCATTTTTGCGCTCCCTTTAAATTGTTTACATGAGGTAAATGCCTCGTCATACCCGGCTCTATTCAGCTGCCAATAACACTTTAGGATATTAAATCAACACGATGCTATGAATGCTTTAAATAAAACGAATGCTTTTGTCAATTTGTAAAATTCTTTTTTCTAATTGGTCAACCAAACGCTTCAAAAGTATTTGTAGTGAGACTTTAACCGTAGTTTTAGACAGAATTCATTAGCTGTAAAAATATATCTTTGTATTAGAATAGAGAGAGCAGAGTTAATTGTGACACTTTTTTTAAGTTATAAATCTTTGCACAATTATGAGAGACTAATTGTAAATGCTTTAAAATGTTACATATTCATCTGGCTCAATAACTGAGTACTTATAAATCGTTAATATCTCATAACTAAGAATAAAAATATATTCATTATAAGGATGCACAGTGGATCAATATGTCACATATGCCTATGAGGCATATTGAGCATCCTCGAAGGATAAATTGAACCATGAAAATAATTGTTTAATGAGATTACAGATGATTAAAAAAACTTAAAAGGCATTATGTGTACATTAATCAAATTTTTATTAATAATGTAATGATATGTAATACTCTCCCTTTTTAAATGCTTATTAGATTAAAATTAGAACATCTTTATTCTTTATAATAATAATTAAACGTAAAATATATATTTAATCGTTAAAATAGAATAAAAAATATCGATAAAAATAGATTTCATTTGAGCAGTTGAGTTTATAAGATTCGTTATGGATATTGAGTCCAATAAGCCCCATATTGCTGAAATACTTATTTATAACTGAAAAACTGTAAATAAAACAACAACTTGAATATTAAAGTTAAAAAATACCATTAATAACTTCCAAAAACACATTTGATTGTTATAAATAGCTTTAATTTTTAACACGTAGACCAAAAAGAGTACTCATTTAATAATTTTATTTTGGTATACGAAAATGAAAAAGCGCACGTATTTGGCTATTGAGTCAGATACAGATTATTGTATTAAGGCACAGTAATCTCTGTCTTTGTGCTACTTACGCAAGCATAGACGTATCTATATATATTTTGATTATTTAGATATTTGCATTTAATCAACTTGCCCTTATGCGCAACTAGCCCCGCTCTATCCTACATGTTTAAATTCACTTATATGTGTAGCTTCTATTTTTTAGGAATTGATGAAATATTGCTTCCACTTCTATTTTAAAAACATGATGACTGTAATCCAGACAGACGGTTTTGAAGAATTGGATGTCGAAACAAAGGCTATGTTAAGAGACAAAGGGAACACCTTTTTGTCATCAGAAATTAGTAGTTCTGGATATTTAGAATAATATATTTCTTAGTTTAGAGGAAAAAAGAATATAATGGACTGTTCTGTGAAAACGATTTACTCTCATAATCGAAACCATTATTGCATATGTTATTTAATTAATTAAAAAATTATTAAAAAATGAGTAAATAAATAACAAATACAAAAGGAAAAAAATTAATTTAGGTTGTGAATAAATTATTTTAAATATAATAAATCATGTTGAAATACTGTTGAATGTTGTAAATAAAAAATAAATAAATAAAAAATAGTGATTACTGAAAATGAAAAGATACAATTGTTACATGAATTTTAAGATACAATGGAATATTTCTTCACAGAAATTCTTGAGAAAATTCTCAATCGAACTGCCATGTCAAGTGATCGAACATTCCGTCAAAAATATATCCAGATAACAAAATGTTAGCAGGATAGTCGACAGACTGGTAGCAGATTTAATTAGAAGATGTTAGCAGACTGATGTCTCAATCTTCTGCTGACAGAATCTGTTAATATTCTATGCAAATAAACTGGCAGCAGAAATTAAGTAGAACCTGCTGATAGCAGATTGCGAACCAGAATCTGTTGACATAACTTGACAGCAGATTGGCAACAGAAATAGAGCAAGTCCTGCACTAACTTTCAGGTATGTCCGGACATAAAATGTATTTGATCATATTTGTACAAATAAGGCTTTACTAAAATTAAATTTGAGGTACATACTAAAATCAAATATGGTTATATTTAGGTTACTAATTTTTGGGCTTTGGGATTTTCATATAAAAATCTATTTTGAATGTCTGTAATTTCAGGTAATTAAGAATTTATCCGGAATTTACTATTATATTATATCTGATTTTTATTTTGAAATACATATTAATGGTTCAAATCAGGATTTTCATTTTTAATATGTTTAATCTATTTAATGTATTGTATAATAAAAGTTATTTCCACTTGGAAATCTATTATTAATATATTCCGAAAATAATTCGGAAATCCAGATAGCATATAGAGTACAAGAGCAATATATTAAGAAATCCACAGCTCATAGCAATCAGTCCTTCTGCGTCTATCCACTTATTCTAGATTTTCACTTCATATATAAATTCCATGTATTAACGATTTAAGGTGCCAATTCGATAAATGTCACACAAAATCGGAAGATTTACCCTTTCAAAACTTTATCCAATCCTTGGCACTGTTATTGGCTCTCGTCTTTAGTTTTTTGCTCGATTTAAGTATATAGGAAGTGGCTACGTTCAGTAAAGAAAACGCTAATCCATTAACACTAAGTGATTCTTTAATATGATTAATTTTTGCCTTTAACTTTTTGCTGGACCTAAATATAGGAATCAATTATATTAAAAAATCATATTAAAGAACTAAGGGTGGTGTCCCATGACAATCGGATTTTCGGAAAACGGAATCTCGGAAAAGTAATAGATAGTCAACCAATCAGAATTATTGGGCTGCGTTACTGTTCTGTACATATACGTTAAATACAAGATTATCGAAATTGAATTTCTATATGTATAAAAAGAAATTTGTCATTATAATAAATAATTGTTTTTTTCACAAATTTTCACAACTTTGCGGTAATTTTTCGCAGGCTTTACATGCAATTAACGGAAGAATGGCAATTACAATTTAACATTATTAAACCAGGAATTTCAGATTTTAAACTAGAAAAGAACGAATTATTACGTCCAATCATAACCGATGCAATATCTTTTGCCATTCCGATGATATTTGTTAAAGGAATTCCATTCCATTTACAGAAAAAAATTCTTTAAAGGTTAAAAAAATTTTTTTCGCAACAATTTTTTTCTAAATCTCTTGCATTTAATGCTAATAACTCCAGCAATTGCGTTTTTATTTTCTCATTATTAGGGCAAACATATCGTACGAGCAGGCACATAAATTTCGTATCTGTAATATCCGTGCGTTCATCTATTGAAATCGAAAATTTCATGTTTTTAAATTTTTAATTAGCTTTTTTGTTTTACGTTTTGCCAAAACATCTTTTACAATATTGCTGCACTTAAGTCGACCCAGTGATAAATTTTGTAAAATTTTAGGTCGAACGAATGTCTTTTAATAAAGGTATCAAATGCCGTGTAAAAAGCAATGTTATGTTCTGCAAAAAAGGCGGATAGTTTTATTTCTCTTTCAATTTATCGTCATGAGAAACGTTACTAACGACGTTATCGAGGTTTTGATTTTGATTTTTTATTTTATATTATTCTATATTATTTTATTCTATATGTTTAGCCATTTGCGAATGCTTCGTATAATATCTGTTCTATAATATTTAAAACTGTAATTATATATACTGCAAAAAGCTTTATTTAAATTAGAATGGGGAGCCAAATATCCTTTAAAAATGTTCTCATCTAATCACGAATTTTGAAATTTTCTATCATACTGTTTTTTAATTGCTCCTTTAGCAACATTTGAATACATATTGAATTAGGCCCATTACTATATGCAAATGTCTTTATATCCTTTCCATATAGGGCTTTCACTTTTTTCGGAATATATATAGTGTGCAGCTTGTATTACCAATTCCGAAACAACCGGCGCTGTTGTCGCCCAGACCGTACATCATTTTATCTCTTGTTATAATTAAAGCCTCACCAGCATATCAACCTATTTCAAGAATGAATTAGTATAAAAGAGTAAAATTTACTAAAACGCAAACGAATCTCAAAATTGTGTCGGAAATAATACGATATCTGAAAATCGAGATGTGACTGAATTTTAAGTAATCCTGCTGATAGATTCGAAAAACTTCTCAATATGTAATGCAAATGTGTTGTTAGACTATAAACGTAAATATAACAAATAATGATGTATTTATTCATATAACTTTATCATATCATTGTGATTTCTATCCCTGCACCAGGCTGTTTTACAAGCTATTTTTTCTTATATACAAGACAACCGTCTATCATGTGATTAATCTTGTATTGATTATAATTCTGAGTTGCTAACGACGCTAATTCGAATCTAAAATAAAGTCGAAAAAAGACTAAAATAGACTTCTAATAGATCTCTAAAATAGACTCTAAAATAAACTCGAATGTAAACGCAAGTTGGCCAATCCAATCAGTCAGCGCCTCGCTATGATTGGTCTACTGAGGATTAGCAACCAGAATCGGCAGTTGGTTTGCAGAGTCGATACGGTAGTTTGATACGGCCTTAAAGGATACTGAAAATAGAACAAATTACCATATATACAAAAACCATATGAATTTGCGAGACAAACGCCGACTCTAGTGAACCGAGAATCGGCCATCTACGTAAGTAGTGCACATATCATGATGTTATTTCACGAGATCGTCTTTTCACGAATGCTTCGCTTTGTTTTTCGATTTCTCGTGAATCTCACGAATTTACGATTAACAATCTTTCCTATCAGCGGTAATCAACAAACGTTCTCAATAGTCCGAAGTTATCTTCTTTTGAAACCGCATGACCGCAGTATGTCAACCACTACAATAGCTACAATAGCAGTCAAATCCTTGAATAATGATGACCCTACAATCAATAATATTGATTGTAATATTGAATCAGTAATACTGATATTATATATTAATATTTTTATTAGTATTTTTACAATTTTATACGATCGGTATTATTGACAATTTATTTCACTTCAGTTTTATCACCGATACTATTATACGAGATACTATCATAGATCGACATCCTTACAGAGTTCTTGTGAATATTGAAGTGATTAAGAGTTAAAAATTGATATAATATTGTACTAATTTTATGATTTATTAGTTTAGTAGACGTATTTATGCATTTAGAACTCAATAATACTCTATTTTTCTTTAAAATTGTGATTACAGTGTTATCGTCAAAGTTTGATGTTATCAACAGAGATGATAACAACAGAGAAAAAAATTATAATTTTTCAACAATATATAGGATATTATAATTTATTTACAAGTATACACACATTTATTTATGGAACATTTATGTAATAAAAAATCATCATAAACTTAATAATATATGAGCCAAATATTTATGTTATTAATACAGTAAATTTATATCAATCGTCGATAATATCAGCGTTCTTCAATTACCACCTGGGCGCTTGGAATTTTTTTCATACTGCCAATAATTTGCTTAAAATTAACGATCTTTAATAGTACATCTTGTCGGTGTATTGCTAAAATGAGTATTATTGATTAATATTTTATTTCAAAATACACATCATAAAATTATGATAAAAAGAAATTTTGCATGTGATGGCTTTGAATAACTAAATGTGTAGTCCACACCATCAAACATTCTCCGCCGAAATATCTGCTGACTACTCATTAGTTTGTAAATCGTGAGAGTAATATTTAAAACCGTCCGTGTAGGTTACATTTTTCGTCAGAAAATACAACATTTTTCCATTCTTTATGGCAAGTCATATGATTTCGAGCAAACTTTAATCTCGTAGTTTTATGGCCTTGAGTATAAGAAAGCATCAAGGATTTTAAACCTTTATCTTGTTATAGTATTTGCTACATCGTGTAGTCACTGGCAGTTCAAAACTCTTTCTAGTTCACTAGCAATTTTATTACCGATTTATATTTTTTAAATTTATGAATGATCATGTCTATTGTAAGTTTTGTAATACCGCCTATATGATTTTTATCATAGTTTTCACGAGATCTCAAAAAATTATTTATAGAATTACTGGATCAATCAATTTTAGACGACAAACAGAAATATCTGCGTTACGATATGCTTATATGTATTTTTACTTATTCTTCTGAACTGAAAAACTTTTCTTGTGGCATTCTGGTAGAAGAAAAATTATTTTAAATTATTTAGAAATTATAATATTATTCCTGATAAAATTAAAAAATATTAATAAGGCTCTGTACTTATAATAAAAAGTAGTATACAAGAAGGACCAAGAGCCAATAACATATAAAAGAATTTTAATTTAAACAAGCAAAATTAATACAAAACAATTATAATAAACAAACGTTTCAACTCCAATCGAGTCATTTTCAATGTAATCTTAAAA